TGGCTTATTTGATCATCATTAATTTTTTGATTTGATTAAAAAATCAATATAAATGTTTGGTTAATTAGCTTTTTGTAACTCCAAAATGCTAAAAATCAAAAAGCTGCTCAAAGCAACTTTTTCAATTAGCTTTTTGAGAAAGAAAATTATACAAAACAGAACAGCTAATTTATCAAACACATTTCTACAATCAGCTAATGTTATCAACTAGTTATACCCTCTAATTGATCCAATCAGCTAATAGCTAACAGCGATTTACCAAACAGGGTCAAAAATTTCTAAACTATCTTAATTGGTTTGGGAGAAATCGGCAAATGTGGTGCTTAACGTCGATGGATGTGCGTCAAAACTAGTTGTGATGTGCCTGGCTTTGGTGGAGCTCTGCGAGACGATCAAGGGAACTAGTGTGGTGGTTCATGGGGAAGAGTTGGAGGACAAATCCTACTAAGGTGGAAAGTGTGGCCATCCTTAAAGTCCTCGAGGCCTAGACAAATTTTACAAGGAGATTTTAAGGGTTTAAAATTCTGACCTATTTTGTTTATTGAATCATCAACATAAGTTGCTTATGCCATGATGACTAGTACCGAATGAGCTTGATCGATGTGGCACTCCCAATTAGCTTTGGGTGTTTGGTTGGATGTAATTGTAATTTTTTTACTACCTTATTCAAGGACAATGAAAATTATAATGTTTGGTTAGAGGCAATTGTAATTCCCTCCTTTTGTTGAATTGCAATTCATGGGGTATCCCTAAATTGCAATTTAATGCTCGCAAGAAAAGGAAAAAAGTGAAGAAATGACAACAATATCCTTAAGTTATTATTATTATTATTATTATTATTATTATTATTATTATAACACAAGGACATTTTAGCCTACATTGTTCCTAACTAGTCAAGGGTGGCCTATATATGTCTTATTAGCATAGCATATGCTGCGGATCGAAGGTGGACTCTCTTGCTATTGTTCAGGTTCTCAACAAAGACGTTGGTTCACCATCAGTAACCGACACTCTGGTCTTAGATTGCGAATCTCTGATGGCTTCTTTCCCAGCCTGCGAGCTCGTTCACATCCTTCGGGAGGGCAACCAGTGTGCAGATTTCCTTGCTAATTTGAGGCAACACTCGCCATGGGGCACCTCAATTCTTACTCAGCCTCCAGATGGGCTCGATCGATTATTGGTTCATGACATGAATAGTGTGGCCACAACTAGAACTCGTTAACTCTCTCGGGGCCTTAGGCCCCTTCCTTCTGCCACAAAAAAAAACAAAGAAAAAAAAAAAACTGATAGTGTAAATACATGTGGACTAATATCTAAACTAAGTAACCTAACTCGAGAGCCGACTGAAGACGGTCGGGAAGCTCTGAATAAAATCTCTTGATCTTTTCAAAAGTCCCCTCATCATTGTCATCATTGGTATTTATAGACAATGCGGCGTAGCAATCCCCACCCGGAGTACCGGCATGCAATACACGCGTCAAATACCTGTCCACAGCTAAGGCCAACCTTCTGTCCACTTTAGGAGCCGACACGTAGCTCCTTTCTGATCTTGAAATTAAGTTACAACGGTCGGGAAGTAGGGGCGGTCGGAAGCCGGTCGGGCAATGAGATCGGTCGGTAAGGCTAAACAGGTGAGCAAAGCGACGGGCAGGTGATTCTGGGTCAGTCGGTCGGGATTATATCCTACCAATAGCATATGCCAACTAACTTAGTAATTGCAGGCCTAGTTGAGCTGATCGGTGACCAACTAGCTAGGTTCGAGTCGATTTTGCAAAAATTTAATCATTGGATTTGAGGTATTAGCTAGACCTATTTTTCAAATCATTGACCGAACTACATTATAAGTCAATCGATTACATTACCTGAAACTATTATTCCATAGTGTCATATCCCTATCCTATCTCTTTTAGACAAAAGGAAATTTAGGAGTTTTAATTTCTAATCTATTTTATTTATTGTATCATCAAATTTTAATTTTACACTTATCCAAGTTTATGTATTATGTATTTATGTTCGATTATATGTATTATGTTAGGTGGTTCAAAATATGTAATATGTTAGGAATTTATGTGTATTCTACTATATTATTATTACTCCCAAATAAAATGTCCTCTGATTTTAGGTTTGAGAAGTCTGTACTTCAGAAAAAACTTCCAGAAGAAAATGCGAAATTAGGAAGGGGGAGATTTTCCATAGAGCGTCATCCTCCGATCCAATCTTGTTTAGCCAAAAGGGCATGGTTAGGTTATGCATGACATTCATGATCTCTAAACCCCACCGCCCATCACCCCATGTGATCAAACATCAATAAGGTTAAACACTTGGATGTTTTGAGAACATGCATTTTACTTCAATTTCATCTCATGCATTTTACACGTTTTGAGAACATGCATTTTACTTCACTAAACTCAAAAAAGATAGTGGAGTGTTTAGTAAATAACTGTTTTAGCTGATAGTTGTTAGCTGATTGGGTTAGTGAATTTAACTAATTGATAGCATTAGCTGATTTGTAGAAAAGTATTTGGTAAAAATGTTAGCTAATTACATACAAAATGACTTTCTCAAAAAAGGGAATAAAAAAACTATTTGAGCAGGTTTTAAAATTTAGCATTTTAAAGCAATAATAAGTTCTTAAAAAAAGCTAATTAATCAAACACTCATATTGATTGTTTAACCAATTCAAACAGTTAAAAGTGGTCAAATAAGTCAAAATTAGCTAATACACTAACTATTTTAGCAAACATGGCTAGTAATTATGATGTGGAAACAAGATTGAGAACATATTTTATTTGTAGTGTTTAGCAGGGGGAAGGGGAGTAGTTGAGTTATTTTTTGGACTGAGATCGCCACAAGCGTAGCCAGGAGGAGCTTCCATTCCGCAGATCTCAATGAGCTCGAGTGCCACTGGCATTAAAATACTCATATTTAGCATCCTAAACGTAAAAGTTTCGCAGAAGCAAAACGCAGCTTCTATCCCTATAAGCCCTTCAATAACTGGGCAGCACTTATCAATTGCAGGGTCGCCAAATCGGATGTGAACCAACCCTCCTAGAAGATCCACGCATGCCCCTAGCTTCATTGCGCCTATGGGGCAATTCTCCGTCGATGAATTCCTTCGGTGTGGCGATGGCGCCGGTGCAGGCGCTGCCGGAGACGGTGGTTCTGGTATCGGAGTCGGTGCTGGAGACGGTAGTTCTGGCACCGGAGATGGATCCCAGTTCAGCCGCGGTAATAGCCGCCATAAGGGAAGGGCTGAGGAAATGTTGAAAAGCATGGAAATGAGAATAGCTATTATGATGAGCTTGGAAGTCTCCATTAATTTATGGTTCGATCGAAATACTCAACTATGTATAGATGGACTCAACAGTTCTGCAAATTAATTCATGTATAGTATAGTATGACTACGTTACTTCACCTGATCATTCTTGAATTGGCTGCGCTGCATGGCTTTTAATACTAATGATTAGAACCAAAATTTGTGGCGATATGATGAACATCCTGCATTTTTAAAAGGATGGTCAATGATCCATAATTGGCGCATCTTTCTAGCGAATTGAGTTCTTGACTTGTTTGCGAGTCAGCATGAGTTAGTTGAGTTGAGTTGAGGAGTTAGTCAATGATACAAGTACTTGTAGAGGTGATTTGTAAATGTCATTTTAAATTCTTTTATGATTACTTGTTGGGACATGGATTTCCAAACTTGGGCTGAAAATCAACCCAAAGCAATTGTAATGGTACCGTCAAATTTTACCGTGGATCATGGTTCAGATACGTAGCACCGTGGATCACGAAGTAAATATCATTCTAATTATGCTTCAGCTTTATTTAATTGACAACTAGTTACCACATGCGCATTGCGCGAATAGTCTGATGTTAAATGTATATTTTTAAATTAGTGTTTCAAAATTTATCAAAATATCATTCAGTATCCTGACGTATACCAATGCAAAATTATCAATTTTTTATAAAAGTATATATTTTAAGAATGTATAACTAAACAATCTACAAACGTCAATGCCTTCATTGGGGTTTGAACAATCAAACCTTTTATATATTCTAAGGGTGTGTTTGGTTCGCACATAGGAATCGGAATCGGAATAAGTATCAAATACTTGGTAATGGTAATGAGTTTTGGTGAAAGTATTTAACATGTTTGGTAGTAGAGTGGAATGGGAATGGTTACTAATAGTAGTGCTTGAGAATGAATAAGGGAATGAAACCCTTATTGTATTTGGATATGTGTTTTTCAATTGATGGGATATTCGAAACCCATAGTAGTGTTCTAAAAACCTATCAACCAAACAACAACAATCACTTTCATAGCCATTCCCATGGACAAAACCCACCAACCAAACACACTCTAAATTGATTATCACCCAAACTTTAAAAGTTTGGGTTGATGAATGCCTCCAAACTTTAAAAGTTTATAAAAATCTTTAAAACTTTCTAAAAGTTGAGATTAAATACACCCTCAGTTGGAAACTAAATTTGGCTTTTTAATAACAATTGGAAAGTTAAATTTACATCACAAATAACTGGGTGACTAAATTTATACTATAATTATAATATAAATTATTAGACCAAAATTGTCATTTTCATTGTTAGCTTTGTGATTATTGAAGGGGCAAAAACAAAAATGTTCATGTGCTCCGATTTGGGAAGGGACCGCGATATATATAAACTTTTTGAGTTTCATTTTCAATCCCTTTCTTAAAATTAGTGTAATGTATAAATGAAATATCATTAGTGTAAAACTAAAATGACATATTCTTTACTCGATAATGTGATGACTTTGTAACGTTTTTTGATACATTCAAAGGTTGAAGGTCAAAGATATGATTTCCTACTTAAAATCACGAAGAAATATGATTAAACTATATATTTATACCGATGATTTTTGCGATGTGGTTAAAGGAATATAATATGGTTATTCATAATTTATGGGTTGCAGCTTGTAATATAGCAATATTTAAAGTTGTAAGAACAAAGAAACATGTTTATTAGTGACACTATTGCATTACTCAATTGAAATAAATAAAACAAATAAAATTAACATTAACATTACACATGAAATAAAATTACCATCAATAAATTGCTGTTCAAATAAACCCAAAGATGCATAACTTCAATCCACACTATAGAGAAAGAGATACTAAGGGGTGGGGGGTGGGAGTAGGGGTGGGTGGGTGGGAGTGGAATCATGAAGAAAGAAATCATAGGCTCGACATCCTTTCATGTCAATCCATCAAATCTACAGCTTAGACCCTGCAATATCAAAAAAATAAAAACGAATAATGAGCCAAATTATATATTATAAAAAGTAAAATAAAAAGAAATTGAAAGTGATAGTGAAAGGCCATTGATTCATGTGCAATGGAAACAAATACAATTAATTACCTTGTACTATTTGAAACCTATTATTCATCATTTAGTCCTCTGTATATTTTGTCTTCTTTTTAAATGGCATCATGTATGCATGCAACTTGCACAGCTGTTCTTTTTGGTTTTTCATCAACTTTATTATTTTCTTTTTTATCATATAGATTTTACTTAAATATACATAAAGTAAATAATGTAAAAAGTAAAAACTTCTCCCTTTTTCCTATATTGTGGCCTCATTGCCTTTTGGCACAAAGTTTATATAGGACTACTTTTAGTGAGTAAGTAAATTAAATATCTATAATGAGTATTAAGTAGTTAACTTTAAAATAAAAATAAAAAAATTAAGCGAGTTTGACTCACCACCTGACCTCTTTTAAACCTACTATGTTGTCTCCATTTGTTGAAACCCTAATATTAGAAATGTCTCCCAATAAGTATCTAAACTAGAGGTCATTATCAGGCTGGATCGGTTCTATAGTTAATACATTAAACAGGATGCATGTCCTGCTTAATTTTGCACCTAACTTTTTCTTTAAAGTTACTCCTTTTATCCCAAGTTTGCTTTCTAGTTTACTAATGATACTAATTTAAGGAAAGTAGAGAAAATTACTTATTCTTACTTTTTCCTCATAAAGGACCACATTGTAACTCTCTACAAAACAAGGTAAAAGAATCACAATTGTTATATCATAGACCAAGATCCACCTACCTTACATTATATTATAGATCCTTGTCTAACATCACATTCATATTATGTACCTACGGTAATTAATATATTATGTATTTACAATTAATCTATAATGTACCTAATACAATTACTACAATTAACATATTATATATATATTTCCAGTTTACAATTAACATATTATGTATCATATCGTTAATTTATATATTTATAGGTACATAATATGTTAATTGAATATACTGCAGGTACATAATCTGGACCTAAACCATTCTATACTTTCTCTAACTAATGCAGCCCAAAGAGCACTAATGCAGTTCAAAGAGTCAATATACCACCACCGGGTTCGGGAGAGCCACAGAGGTGCCACCTGAGCACAAGGTGCATGTAGTCTGATTTATTTCCAAATAAAAGACATGATGATGACCATGCATTGTGGGGGTATATATATATATATATATATATACGTCACGAGATTGCATAGAAAAACACGTACGAGAATAATCCAACGTAGTATGTAATAATGTTAATTAACCTTAGTGGTAGGGTGGTTTAGAGAGCGCAAGTGTATCCAGGAGGAGGAGTCTTGCCGCAGGTGACGAGGAGCTGAAGAGCGAGCGGAACGTAAATGCTGAGGTTGAGAGCCTTAATCTTCAAGGTTGTGCACAGGCAAGCCGCGGCTTCGAGCTCAACCAGCCCTTTAAGAATGGGGCAGCATTCATTCACGGCGGGGTCGCCGAGCCCGACGTGAACCAGGCCTCCGAGAAGGTCCACGCACGCGCCGAGCTTCAGGGTGTCAATGGGGCAGGTCGCCGCCGCCGGTGGGCAGGGCTTGGCCGGCCCGGGAGTGACCGGAGTGACCACCGGAGGCAGAGTGATTGGAGGGACGGTAACTGGGGGCTTCACCACTGGTGGGAGGGTAATCGGAGGGATGGGAACTGGGGGCTTGACCACCGGCGGGAGTGTAATCGGAGGAACGGTAACTGGGGGCTTGACCACCGGGGGGAGTGTAATCGGAGGGATGGGAACTGGGGGCTTGACGACCGGCGGGAGTGTAATCGGAGGGATGGGAACTGGGGGCTTGACCACCGGTGGGAGGGTGATCGGCGGCACGGTAACGGGAGGTTTAACGACCGGTGGGAGGGTGACCGGAGGTTTAATAGTAATTGGTGGCTTAGGGGTGGGCTTTTTGGGCTTGTGACTGGGCTTTCCGCAGGAGCCACAGGCCAAAATGGGAGTGGCGGAGGAAATGAAAAGCATGGAAATGAGAAGAAGAGCGGTTACCTTAGAGACCTCCATGGTTTAGTGATGAAGAAGGAAGGAAGAGAGAATGGTGATGAGAATTGCAGATAGGGTGAGGAGTTATATAGAACAGTGAGGTGAGTCGGTGAGTGTAGTGAGTAGAGAAAACAAACAAAATGCCCTAAAAGCAATGCATGTGAGTTATGAATAAGGGCTATATGGACTGATCGAATAAGAGATGCCAATTTTTGCTAGTTGGCAACTTAATCTTTTATATGTTTCTACTTAAACTCATCATATGGTCCCGGTAAATTTGGAAAAAAAGTGGTGAAAGTTTAATTTGGACTATATTAGGTTTTCAACACTTCCTTGAAGGTTATGTTGGAGATCAACTTAATTATATATTCTCAAAAGAAACCAAGACTATGTGGTCTAATGGTACCCGGGTTGGACTTCTATTTAGAAGGTTGTGAGTTTGAGCTTTAGTGGATGATGTTTTAGTAGGTTGAGAAAGTATATGAACAGAAAGAATAAAAACACAAAGAATTGTAATCTTTCTACGCTACTCTATATATATATATATATATATTCTTCTAATGTTTAGGAGAAATTCACTAGTACTCCACACAATTTACAAGTGAGAACCAAACAAGTGTTTTGCATACGAATACCACACTATTTGCTAGGGTTTTCACTTTTCACACTACTCAAAGGTCTGCTATTCTTCCTCTATATATCTACCCACAATAGAGATTTACAACGTTTCAACATAAGGGTTGAAAGAATTCCTCAACTAAGAGAATTAATAAAATTGAATTTTCTATTTGAGCTTGATGAAGTAAGTCTATTGAAAATTTTGATGATGGCCTATGTAGCTTTTCAGAATTATAAGATTTATGTGGTTTTATCTTTATTTTAATCAAATAATTTCATCTTCATTTTTATTCATTGGACACTTTATAATTGCGCATTGCTTGTATTTATAACTAATTATCAGATTTTGTTGATACGAAATAATTACGATTAATAATTTAAGCCCTAAAATTTCCATATCAATCGGCCAATATGCAACTCAATTCCAAAACTATAGAATTGCAATTTCAGTATCCATAGACATTATGCAAGGTGTGCAATGCGCAAAGCAATACGTTATCATCTTTGTAAAATCGACCCGAGATTAGTTATTGAGTTATACAATGAGTTCGTAGTGACATTGTTTCATCTAGGACTCGAAGTTAACTCTTAAAGTTAACTCTATGAACTTATTCAATTCAATGACTTAGAGTAAGTATATCAGGACCCTTACCAATTATCCAATTACTAGCTAGCTAGCCCCTCACTTCTAAGCTATAAGCATGAGCAAAGTCAACAAACAGAAGTAACTAACCATGTATGAGTTCAAGCTTTAACCCTAATCATGATTCGCCTAACTGAAGGCCATGTCGTTTATTCACATGATTCTTTTTTTATTTTTATTTTTATTTATAAAAAAAAAAAAAAAAAAAGGGGGGGGGGGGGGGGGGGGGGGATGATTATATATATTTTAATCATACCAATTAGGTTGAAAAAAGTAACATTAGACAACATATTCCCTATTTTCTTTTTTTGGGAAAAAGCACATGAGAGTAAAAGGTATTGAAGGAAATTAAAGGTCTGATCTATTTTAGTATTTTAAAAAAGTACCAATTATATTCAAATATTGTCATAGCAAATGGTATATATTTATTTTCAGGAGGAGTATGTTAACTGTACTCAATATTACTACTACATGTTTTATTTTATTAGAGAAAGAAAATTAAAAGAAAAAAAAAATTGTGGTCCTTTTTACTAATAATCAAAGTCCACCAAGCATGTTAGTCGTGATTAAAATATGGAATAAAAATATAGTGAGTATAGTATACATTTTTCTCGATAACAGTAATATATTCTTAGGGATATAAAAAAAGTTGAAGCAAACGATGAAATAATTTCATGTTATTCTACAAATTAAAGAAAAATTGAAGCAAATGACTTTGTGATCTAGTGGCATGAAGTGACTATATTTCATGAGATATGACTAATTCGATAATTGTGTGTTCATCATTCTTATTTGGAGGAGTTCTTTTCAAAGACATTATTACATACGTGATAAATACGGGACTACTTGTTGGATCACCCGGTCGCGGTCCGCTAAGAACCAATTGGCCGGATTCCAATCGTTCGTGACCGATTGTGTTGCTCGTTGTGAAGATTGAAAAACTTAGTGATACATGTGGTCCGTTAAGAACCAATCGGCCGGATTCCAATCGCTCGTGACCGATTGTGTTGTTCGTTGTGAAGATTGAAAAACTTAGTGATGCTTGTGGTCCGCTAAGAACCAATCGGCCGGATTCCAATTGCTCGTGACCAATTGTGTTGTTTAGTGATGGTTAAAGACGCTCCAGGATTACCTAGTCGGTCCCAAACTTAGTGATGCTTGTGGTCCGCTAAGAACCAATCGGCCGGATTCCAAGATCGGTCCGCTACGTGACCTACTTTGCAAGTTGGAGAACTTAGCTTCCATCCCCTCACTTGTGATATCCAATATATATTGTTACATACACAAAGTCACTGCTTGTTAGATTGATCTCATTACATCATCACCGTCATCCAATAAGTCACTACTTGTTAGTTGTTAGATTCATCTCATTACCCGAACAGATTATAGCTAAGATTATAGCTATATAGTACTCAAGCCAAGACCCTAACTCCACCACAAAAGCTAATTCATGAGTGGAGGTTTGGCCCCAACTTAAGTACCACTCCACAATCTCTTGCGGAGCCGATGTGGGATTGTATCATTGACTGATCGGCCTGACCGAACGATTGACTAAGCACCCTTCTACTTGTTCATCATATACGTATTCTTTGCGTAATCATGACTCACAGTCCAATTCACGCTATCAATACGTATGAATGTAATTAATTATATTTGAATTGTCTTTAAAACTTAACAAATCTGTTTAAAGTTTTTAAAAATAAGAGTTACTTGGAACTTACATATATAGTATTAGTAAACATATACATATTGACACATAAGAATCTCAGTTGTAAGGCATCCCATAACTAATGATTTGCAGAACTATTATAAATTCCTTAGGGATCCAAACTACTACAGACCATTAACAATAATACAACAGAAATAGTAATACAATTTAATTTATTTTTTTTTTTTCATTTTGATGTGCAAGTTGCAGATTGATTTATTTCCGTAAATTTAATTAATTTGTTGTTTCTGAAGAATACAATAGGCATAAATTAACGACTGAAACGTAACTGCGTATACTAGTCGATTTTCACGTGCATGCCCTTCTCAAAATCATGCACCTAATGTGACATATCAGCCGAGAATGAGAGTTATTCTAATTAAATTTTTTTAAAAGGATTGTTATGATTATTTTTTTTAAGGGATTGTTATGATTAGTTAGTATTCATAAATGGTTTAATTACATTGAAGTATTCATCGGTTTGAGAGTTGTAATTATAATCATTGTATTTAAAATTAAAAATTTAAAAAGAAATTAATAACTTGTTCAAATATTTATTGGTATGAAAATGGAAACTATACACATAATTATGAGAAAGCACATAACCGCTACCCGAAGGTGCAGCAACGCCGAACTATTCATAATTGACCAACTAAAATAAAAAAGTCAATAGACAACTTCCCATGAGAAATGAGACTTACATAAAACCTTATAGTTACCAAACTAACTATTTGTCCAACTTGATTGGGGTACTGCTGTCCCAAAAAACTTACATGGTTGTGACATAGTTCAATTAATTGACTAATTCATTGAGATTTACATAATTTAATATAACTTCGTTTTGTTGATAGTCACATGGTACAAGGTTTGATTTTTACAAATAAAGGTTTCAGTTGGTTTATGAGTGATAAATTGTGAGTAAGGACATAGGATCGAGTCCGGACAATCGCAGTGTGAGAATTACATACACCCAATGTGATGGGCTCCTTATTGGCACTAGACACTGGTCCTCTCACTTAATGAATCGTTAAGTCACCGTGGTTTACCATCCATTATCTTGTCGAGGCAGTGTGTGAGGCCTTACGATGAGAAATTTTTGCTTTGTGTGGGGAAGGTATCAAATTAGCTATGAATAACCACAAGTGGTCCACTCAAAATTAAGGTGTAATCCTTTTCACGAAAAAACATTTATACATAAAAATGTTAGGTATTTCTATACCGTACCATCCATTTGTTTCATTCCTATTTCATTATTTAATTGGATATATTGTATCGACCATAATCCGAAAACGGCGCCGTTTCTTTAAGTAAAAAAACGACAATCGTTAAATTTTAACAAATTTTGTATTTTTGGTGTATTCAGAATAAAATAAAACTACAATGTATCTAAAATGAAATTGAATAACTTGTCTCACATATTGTGTTTAATTTATATTATCAAATGAAACTGTAATTGAATTGAAATGATACTTTAGTTGTGTTGAAATGAAATTGCAGTATGTATAAAATGAAACTGAATAACATGTCTCACTTATTGAGTGTATATTATCAAATAAAACTGTAGTTGAATTGAAATGATACTTTAGTTTTGCCGAAATGAAATTACAATATGTATAAAAAGAAATTGAATAACATGTCTCACATATTGAGTGTATATATTTTTAAATGAAACTGTAGTTATATCAAAATGATACCTTAGTTGTGTTGTAATGAAACTACAATATAATGTATATAAAATGAAACTGAATAACAGTTTCACATATTTGAGTGTATATTGTCCAATGAAACCGTAATTAAATTAGAATTACAATTTAGTGGTGTTGTAATAAGACTACAGTATCTATAAAATGAAATTTAATAACATGTCTCATTGTAATTAGACTATTGTATGTATAATATCAACTGAAACTGCAATTGAAACAAAATTAAACTTTAATTGTGCTTAAATGAATTGAAACTACAATGTATATAAAATGAAAACTGAATATGTTATACAAACAGAACTAATTTCACAGACGGATGTCGTTTCTTTTCATTTAAAAAAAAAAAAACGACACCGTTTTGAACCATAACCTACACACTTGTGTGGATCATGATCCACAGTAAAACTTGACAACAACAACTGAGCAGTTTCACATGTTGGCATCATCACGAATTTAATGGTCCGATAGATCTATGAGAAGCTACAAATTGTTATATTTTGTCACATAATTTTGGGAAATATTCAGATTCTGGAAATTATGCATGGTCTTTTCCCAAAATCCATGAAAAGAAAATATTTCTCCTTTAGATTACTTTTGGAGCTAGGATTTACCATAGACG